GTAAGTCATTGTAAACTTCTCATCTAAAATTTGTGAATTTCATTTATTTAATTTCCATTATCCCGTATTTCATTAAATTGTATATTTATTGATATTGAACCTCAGTTACCTGCTTTGAAAAAAAGCATACCATAATTGTCATGACTTTAAGTCCGGCTAGGTATCACGTGATTTATCCACCAATCGAAATACGACTTGTACAATCTTCACACTGTACTAAATCAATGACGCTCGACCAGCATGAGTAGTCTAGCGTCCTTATTGGTCCCATGTTCACCTAGCCCGTCCACTTCAGTCTAGAACACCAATACCAACTTCCACCATGTGAATCATTTATTTCAAACATACTGGGCTTATATATCAACTAAACAGACCGCAACGTACCATAAAATAGGAAATAACATTTACACACAATAAAGCTGAAAAGTGGCTGTGAACGTGAGGGACAGTAGTCAATAAACTGAGTATAACTTATGAACAATAAATGATACAATAATAATCTATAGGTCAAAACGAAGCTTATAATAAGGGGACTATAGATATATATAATCTAATTACTGAATAGTTATACCATAAGGATATATAGATAATATTAGTTCATCAATAGGTCTCAGAAGTTACTCGTAATTCAATCTTCGCTAGGATATAACAATAATTTTTTGATATTTAGCAATTTTTAATGTTTAGTGTCTTATAGATCTGATATTTTTTGATTTCATTGAATAATATTTATCCATTTGTTTTACTCACAAATATGTAATACAACACTATGAATTTCACTTATTATCACTTGAATATCTTGTGATAATGAACAAATTTTATAATCATAATTATTTCATTTAAAGATGATACAACAAATCTCGTTAGTGAAATTATCACGAATGAAATTTTCTTCTTCTTCTTATTTAACTGGTATGATAATTGTTTTTGGGAATACTTTTTGAATAATTCACGTATAACTGTTAATTTCGAGTTTTGTTTCTAAATCTAAAATCTTAAAACAGCAATATAATATCTGACTTATTTTCATTATCTTTAGTTGAGTTCTTTCTGCTAAATCAGATAATTTAATTATATCTTCCTAAGGTATGAAAAATTCAGTTGTTTTGTAGTGTGGGTTGCTTATATCCATATAAGTAGTATATAACGGTGGTGAGACATAGAAGAAGATCGATAAGAAAAGAACGGAAATGAAACGCAATTGATATGAAAATGCATGAATAATTGAATCTGAGACAATAGACTGATATTTGCAAAAGGAACAGTGAAGTTTGAAACGATAGATTGATATTTTGCAAATTAAGTATTTACTATATGGTTCTCAGATTTTAGTGAGATACTCTGTAGTTTCGTGTCAAATACATTCGATTGTCCACACTCGTGTTCTTGTTCATTACAGTTGAACATCTGAAAATTTGGTGATAGTTGATTTTACTGAATGTTAATAACATTCGAAATCTTAATAAAGTGAAAGTTCGACAATACATTATCGCATATTAAAATAGACGATTCTTTGAAACATTATACTCACCTTAAGATTTCTCTATTCATTATTTTATGCTGATTTCAAAACTAGTGATTTTTTTCTTTATTATAAATTACTGAAGATTATAATTAGACTGACATTGAAAGTATCTTAAGTAATGAAAGTGAATCATAACTTAAAAATGAATTAACGAATAATCAATCAACATTTATTACTAAAATTTATCAATCAATTAAATGATTTTTTCTATTTTCAAGGACATTTAGATTTCCATAATGTTTTAATTGAATGTTTTTCACTAGTGTGATCAAGAATATGAGTTATTTTTATTTGAATGATTACATAAGAATTCTTGGATATGATGATGAACATCATGAAATAAATAATTCGTACCGGATGACTTTAAGTGTTTCGATAACTATTATTGAGGGCGAGTGGGTAAACACTTTTGCATATACTACAGCTCTTTAATATATTTATTCAAAGTTAAGATGTACATTATGTTGTTCTACAAATATTTGAAGATTTATCACTCCCTATTCGCTCAAACATTACTAAGTATTACATGAATCGATCACTGAATGTTCCTGTTACCATGTCCTATAGTCCTTAGTGCTAAATGAGTTCTTACAATCAACTTTGCTATATGATTACCAAACTTATTGGCCAGTTAATTTAATCAACTAATTTCTACAACCAATTAATTACAGTCCGAATTACTTCATGCTAAAAACACTGATTAAGGTATTGGTATCTCAAAAAGATTAATTCCCCCAATGTGGTAGATACTAACGACAGCCAGTCAGCAAAAGTAAAGGTTCTTCAATATTTCTTACAGATTACCTCTAAAAGTCCGTAATCAGAATTTGTTTATTTTTCTTAGAACCGAGTACCATAAATTATTTCATAACTCTTTAGAACTAAAATATATAAACTAAATATCAAATTAATTGAATTTATACGACATAAAAATCAATTGCAAGAATGTAAGTAACAGAATTCATATTCAATAAATCGAACACCTTATTTAACAAGATATCTTTCTATAAAGATAGTTTTTAGTCGATGGTAAGAAATGCAATTATTGTAATATGTTAGCCCTTTGTCAGAAACTCTACACATGAACTATTATTATTAATTGGTCTAAATCTAGGAAAACTTGGTAATTTAGGATACTTTTCACAATACAAATTTGAATCGGTTTAATAACAGTACTGAGATTTTTTATTCAATATTATCTGTAGCTAATAAGAGACCGTTCAGTTTCGGTCCTAAACATGAATCGGAAGATTCAAACAAAACAATACCAAATGAATTTAAACTTCATCTAACTAAACAAGCAAGTGGCTATCAGGACGCAGAGACTAAGTGGATAATGCGATGGCGTTTGAAGCGAACGGTACTGGGTTCGAGTCGTGGAATGAACATCAACTCTGTGATGCAGGTACATCCGGCTGACGAGTCCCGAATAGGACGAAACACGCGTCCTGAATTCCACTACTAGCCACCATCCATCTTTGCTTATCTGAAACATAGCTTGTAAAATAATTTTTGGAATATTATTCAAATAGTATTTGTCAAAGTTCAGAGTAAGTGACCATACATTTGCAATGGTGCAAATATTACAGTTTATGATGAATTTTTTCACGAAGCAAAATTATGTTCGTTGTTGTCATCACACAAATTGCGTCTTAAAACAACCAGATACTTCAGATATATCAATCACAAATTATTTGTTAGGTTGATTAGCATTTTGTTTACATGCAAAAATCTCGATTTATCTTCTAATCGTTCTCGAATATACTGCTAAATACCCGACATAGAAATGATTAAATTATACTGAATAATATTGTCTAGGCTTCGCAATAGTCATTATGATCAATGAAGCTGAATCCAGTACCCGAATCTACCTTAGATATTGATTTTATGGTGAGACAATAATTTATGAACAGACCAGTCACATTTAAGAGAGCAGGTCTTGGGTTTTGGCACGAAATTCATCTATCCATTTGGCTAAATAGCATTGTGGCATCATAACTGATATCAGTTCGTGATTAAAACCCTAAATCTAATTCCTAACTCTAATTTCCAACTACAAATCCAATCCTAATTCCTTATACTAGTTTATAACCCTCATTTAATTCTAGTAAAAAGGTAGATATTCTCAAGGTCACTTTAATGTCACTCAAAAGCCGGCCATAAATCATACTTTTCACCAAAAATAACTAATTGAAGACCATTCAAATGCTAACGAGGATGAAATATAATATAAACCGCTTTTATGAAAATACACATCTCGTTCAACAACCTAGCTAAAACACAGATAAATGACACAAATATAAAATCTATCTGCCTTACGTATTTTAGGTTTTATTACCTTTGGTATTGCCATACATTACCTAAATAGGTGAATTTAAAAATGAACTCATATAAAATTATTGGAAAAATATATCTGTAGACTTTTTATGATGTGTGTACGATATGCTAAAATTCTTGGCTAAAACTTAAAAAGTATTTTAAAAACCTTTAGTTTAAACATTTCTAGCTTTTATTCCGTCAGTTAGCATTATCTATTTTTATGACTGAATTATTCTATTCTACTAATCAATGGTACAATTTTTTTTATATTCTCCACAAATTTTGCAACATTCTATGTAATCTATGATTATTTAACGAATTGTGAAGATTCGTACGTAAGTTAAGTTAAATTAGTTCTTTCAAGACCTAAATAACTCAAAAAAGTGGTAGAGATTTTGATAATCCCACAATTTCCTTTAAAGGAACAACAGCGCTTTTTTTGAATAATGAATAACAGATAAACTTAATATTGAAATAATCATCCAACTATTTTTAAATGCTAGTATAGGGGTTGTGGAGATTATTAAGTTTTTGATTGAGATCATGAACCGATTGATGTTAGACCACCTTTGGAAACCTGGAAACACTGGATGGCCGTTTCGTCCTATCGTGGGACTCTTCAGCAGTGATCATCCACGATCCCGCTCACAGGATTCGAACCCAGGGCCTTCGTTCTCGATTGTGATGATTGTAATCTATTAGATTTCTAGATTTGAATATTGTAAACAAAATGCACTTTTGAAATATTGTAACATAGTTTTTATTAAAATCATCAGTATCAAATAATTAGATTGATGATGTAATTATTGTCTTACAAGAACCCTAAGAGAAATACAATAGTTTTAATAAAATGTTATATATATATATATATATATATATATTTGCTTTCCAATTCCTAATGTAAAACTTCATTATTCCTTATTATTGATTTTATGAAATGATCAGAAAATGATTTATCTTTGAAAGTGTCTAAAATTCATAGAATCATATAAAATAATTATAAATTACTAATTATAAAATCATGTTTATTGGTAATTTGTCAACTTTACAATATAAATTATTAACTTAATTAAAAGAAATAAAAAGGGGTTAATTTGTGCACAAAAATTTACGTCACGTATTTTATTTAGTTTTTGTTTTGTTTTGTTTTTTCTTGTTAAATTTGAGAACCGATTGTTTTGAAGACGTAAGTCAATATTTTACTCATTGTTTCTTTATTTTGTTCATCATTGATGAAATTGTTGAAAAATTCAATGAATATTGGCAGTGAATCCTAAAAATAACAAATGAAATACAAATTATTTAGTATATATATGATATAATATATAATATAATGTAATGAAAACTTACAATTAAGGTGTTCAATAATGACACATTAATTTATTGTATCCAATTATTTAGTGGATTTATTTTGACAATAGTATTTAGTCAATAAATTCACAATCAAAGAGAATCAATTAAAGTAGATATTATGAGATGGTGGAGATTTGTAGCTCAGGTGAATGATTATGATGGAGTTTTGTTCTCTGAGCTGGACTAAACCATCCAGATCACAGAACGAAACTCCATCAAAAGTAAATATTATTCTTATAATTAAATCTTATCGGTTTACAAGGTATGTATTGGAAACAATTACGATTGTAATTTAATTGTAAAATTTGTAATTAATCTATCCTACTTAACAGAATAATTTATTAAGTTCATTTTACTGTTGATTATAAAGTAAAGGAAAATTTTAAAATGTTGGATTTAATAAACTTCTATTTGTAAAGTGTAACAAATGTTTATAATTTATTTGGTTTGTATGGAAGCACTAAACATATTTGATATGATTTAATCTCATCTTAAAGATTCTTCAGATATTCCCTAAAATTAATGTACCTCATCAGAACAGGGATAAGTACTAGATAACTATTTTAAAATAGTTAACGTTTATATAGTAATAAACATTTTATTTCATATGAAGTTAGTGTTCAGAAAGTGACGACGAAACAAATGTTTATTACTCTCTAACACTGACTTCAGGCTAACTAATGTTGAAATATCTATATTACCCAAGGTAAACGGATGTGATACTACCTGAACAAAATCTAAAATATGAAAAAAAAATTTTTCTAGGGAATAGTAGCTTCCTACAACGGCTATAATCACTAATTTAATAGTTTGCTAGTGCTTAATGGTAATACTCATCGTACCGATAAACTATATGGAGAACTAAAAATGGTTTAAATTGAATTGGCAATTCGTGAAATGCACTTACTAGAAATATTTGTTCGTTAACTTGACGATTTCTGTGCATATTAGCTTCATCCATGCAAAGTTTATCTAATTCACACTTATTTGCTGCAGCTTTAATTATCGGCACAAGAGCCGCAACCAAAGTTCTTGCGTAGTACTTGAGCCCTTCTGATTGTGCAAAATTACTAACATCAAGTCCTTGAAGTCTTGAAAATTTACAAATATATTCTGGTTTAGCCTTTAGAAAGCTAATATGTTCAAAAATAAACAAAAATAGACCGATAAACATAATTGTTATATTTACCATTCATACACTTTTAAGCCTAGTTCTTCCTGATGTGCTTCTGTGTCCACATGCGGTACTAATTCAGTAATCAAATGATCTACTTGAGATTGGGTAACAGCGGTCATTTTATGATTTTTTTTTCTAAAATATCAATTTTTCTCAAGTGAATATTTTTTCGCCTATTTATTATTAATGTCTCTGACCTTAGATGATAAACACCAATGAAATTTATATCATTCAGTTCAATTTTAACTATCCATTATATATATATATATATATATATATATATATATATATATATATATATATATATATATATATATATATATATATATATATATATATATTGATTAATAAAATTACACTATAACTCTAATTGCACTGACCAGCCGATTGTCATCAAATGAACAAACACACTTAAATGTTTCATAGAGGGTACTCAATTATACATTGGATGTGACTAATTTGAGTAGACTTTCAACTACTTATGGGATGTGATCTAGGAAATGTGTATCAAAAAAGGACAAACATTGTAAGAAACTCATGAAATTAACAAGAGTATAACTGTGTTCATTATCACATTCATGTAAAAATGTCAGTTTCGGTCATTTTCACTACAAATTGACATCACCAAGAGAATCAGTGATCCTCGATTTCTTAATAATTCTCCGGTCAAATTCATTTTGTAATGAAAATATCTACAGTTAATCAAAATACTTGTACTCAGTGAACTTTTTTGTATGGTTTTATAAACCTGTAGACGACTTAGTATTTTATTGATCTATTCTTCGGTCTATCATTCAGTAGTTGAAATCTTTTGTAGTTTCTAAACCTATTGCATTATTATGAGGAAAGTTCAGAAAATATTTCACTATTTATACGTTAAAACTTACTTTTAGCCAAATACTCGTAACAAACTGTTGGGGATGATAGATCCCCAAAACTCATATTCTGTAATTTTCATCTTATCGATCGACTTATCGATTAAATGTTAAATATTTGAATGGGTGTCAATTAATGAACTTATCGATTAAATGATTAAATAGCAGTCAATTGACGAACTTATCGATTAAACATTTGAATGCCTGTCGATTGATGAACTTATTGATTAATGTTTAAAAACATTGTACTATGACAATATCGATTCTAAATATTCGTATAAATACGCTTGACTTGTGTGCTTGATCTGAATTGACATCTGCTGTTTGCCTGTACAATACACTTTCTACACCTTACCCAGACTTCTTGATCGAGTTAACAGAGTTGGGGACAACGGACCAGGATAGCTATCGAGTCTCTGAATTATTGATCCTTCGGTCCATTCGAGTAAGACGAGTCAGTAGTAGTATTCAAGCTTAACGCATCATAACACAAACCTTAACTAACTTTATTTAATAATTTATAAGTGCCAAGGCAGATTTATTGAAAGAACAAAAAGACAAACGTCCTCGTGTTTTACTACATTGTATTCCAAAGAGTTTAAGTATGTAACGGTAAAACAGTCTTCGAAGTTAGGTCGTGAGCCAGCTGCCGGAAACAAGACACAAAAGTGAATAAAAGAAGAGCATTTAGAACAATTATTAAAAATTACGACTCTCTAACTGAAATTTGCGAAAGGCATAAAAACAAGAAGGTTAAAACCTGACTTTTGTACCTACAAGCCAGTGGTTAACTGTCAGCTTTTGTAAAAGTAAAGGTAGCATCATTTAAATTCATCCATCATTTGATTATGATTGCTGTACAGTGAATTCAGTTTTGAATGTTCTATTTTGTTTATTATCTTTATATGTTCTTGACTGGCCATTTTCTAATAGTATAACCAAGTCATCTCCAACATTCTAGAATTATCAATTCCATTGCACTTTCATATTCGAAACAATTTAGTATTATCCCACAAACAATTCATTTCTTAGTTTACAAGCATGTTTACTTATCGAAAGAACTGAACTTAATAATTTATATGGAGCTGAAGATAAAGCAACTAAACATAATAGTTTCATTTTTATTCAACAAACATTGACTTAAACTTATTTTCGGATATCATTTCAAAAGTTACAACTTCTTTAGAACATTATGAATGACTGATAAAAATAATTTTAACTAAAGGATTCTTAATTTAACCAAATTTGTTGTACATATTATACAGAAGATCTAGTTTCAAACCATCTCGACAAATTCAAAAGTAGGCATGTTAGAAATTATGTGTAACCATCTAAGATATTACAAGCACAAGGTTTAAACTTATGTTAATTTCATTCGGTTATTTATTTATTTACTTCCTAAATAAGCAAATTAAACTAAGCCATAAAGTCCTGATTTCTATTCTTTGGATATTATAAATATATCATCATTTTATTATTAATGGTTTATCATTACAATATGACAGTAGAGACTCTTGAATCACTGACCCAGAAACAGACCATTTATTTCCTATTTCAATTACTTTAAGTATAGTTAGTAAAAGTTAGAATAAATTGATCGTTTCTGAAATATCCAAAGATCATGTATTTTCAAGGGATTTATATGGTTTACTCCACAAAATACAGTATGGCCTTATAAGCAATACAAAAGACCTTTTCTTAATTCCTGATACCAAATTTATTTATCCAAAACTAACCTCTGTATTTCTCTCACTATATTCCTTCTCTATATCCAACTTTAATTAATTTAAATCCACTTAATTCTTCTAATGATATTAGATGTATTTTCTAAATATGAATAAGACTTTTTCTCCCTTATCAATGACATTTATTTATATACTAAATTATGTGTTCCACCATTTTTATTTCATTCGATATCTATCGATGCACGATTTACCATTTTTACTCATCTTTTCGATTGTGTTTCAACATAACTCGCGTTTCGATACCATATTTTATGATTAAACTCTGAAGAAATCCTATTCCTAGTAAACTTTAGAATTTTCTGGAAACTGTCTACAAATCCTTTTCCATAAATTTTAAACACTAACTGCGTTTGGGTGAAGTTTAAATTCATTTAGTGTTGTTTGTTTGAATCTTCTCATTGATGTTTAAGACTGCGATTGGCCAGTCTCTTATTGGCATACGTGCATCCTGTGCAGATTGCCTTGATATTGCCTTAATTCACAAGCATTATAAAAAAAAGATGAATGGTGGTCACCAGTGGAATCCAGAACGCGCATCTCGTCCTACTAATGACTCGTCAGCAGGATGTACCTGCATCCCTCAGTTGATGTTCACTCCGAGACTCGATCCTAGCCAGTAGCTACCAGGACTCGGTAGCTAAGTAGATAATGTGATGACGTTTGAAGCTCGTTCCAAAGGAGTACTAGTGTGGTTACTGAGCGTAACCGAATCCATGCAAGGCCACAATCAACGGAAGAATGTATGTGTTTTGGTATAGTTAAACAAACAAGTACGGTAAAACAATCCCTGGTACAATTAGTTACAATGATAATTATTTCCATAACACCGATCGCGTTCTCTTGATAAAAGTAGGTCACTACATGCCAATAAGAGACTGGTCAATCGCAGTCCTAAGCATCAATGTGATGTTTCGAACTAATTGCATATATTTCTAATTGTATTATTTTTAGTAGTAAACTCACTAAAAACAAAAGGATTTTGCTGTCTGATGCTCTTATTTAATCACCTAAACAGTTATTAGGATTATAATATTCTTTTTGGATTATTAATTTGGATCTAAAACTGTTAAACCTGAAGAGAATTTATTGAAAAGAATATTCTTCGTCCATATATATTTGTGTTTTTAACACCTTTCCTCTTCAGCATCTATTTACTTAAGAAGGATCACAATGCTCGTCTTGCTGATAGTTTGTAAAAGTGCTTTGATAAATATAATTTCAAGCTGTTTTATTTATACATTTGCTTTTAATAGAGTAGAATACATCTCAAATCCGCCTGGCGTCCCTCCGGGGGTTACTGCCGGTCCCAAGCCCGGATGAAGGAGGAGGGTCGGGCATGGGTTAGCGACCACATTCTGTAGAAAACTAACTCGCTAAAGAACGCTAACCGGAAAAAAATATCCAAACCATTTAAACTCTGCCCTGGGAGTCAGGTGGTCTTCATTTAGAAGAGTTATGATGTCTCATGATGAAAGCTGAGTTCCTTCGGAAGTCACGAGGCCGATGCCCCTTCTAACAACCAGAACAATCATTTATTTAGGTACATGGAATGCTCGTACAGTATGGGACACCGGGAGAGCCTTCCAAATTGCTGCAGAAATGAGGAGATACAACCTAAAGTTGCTTGGGATCAGTGAAACACATTGGACGCAAGTTGGACAACAACGACTAGCTTCAGGGGAGCTTCTATTATACTCCGGCCATGAAGAAGAAAATGCTCCACATACACACGGAGTTGTATTGATGCTGTCCAAACAAGCACAAAATGCACTTATAGGATGGGAATCTCATGGACCAAGGATCATCAAAGTCTCCTTCAAAACAAAGAAAGAGGGCATTTCAATGAACATCATCCAATGCTATGCGCCTACCAACGACTACAATGAAGACGGTAAAGATCAATTCTACGATAGGCTGTAGTCAATCGTCGAGAAGTGCCCAACAAAGGACTTGACCATTCTGATGGGAGATTTGAATGCGAAGGTTGGAATGGACAACACCGGATATGAAGACATCATGGGACGACACGGACTAGGGGAAAGGAACGAAGATGGTGAGAGATTTGCAAACCTATGTGCCTTCAATAAACTGGTCATAGGCGGCACCATATTCCCACATAAACGCATACACAAAACCACATGGACTTCACCAGATCACTATACACAAAACCAAATCGACCATATCTGCATCAACAAAACCTCCAGGAGGACGATGGAGGACGTGAGAACAAAGAGGGGAGCTGATATAACATCAGATCGTCATCTGCTTTTTGCCAAGATGGAATTGAAACTCAAGAAGCACTGAACAACGGGGCGCACAACATCACAAAAGTTCAATACGGCCTTTCTTTGGGATACCGACAAACTCAACAAATTCAAGATAGTCCTCAGCAATAAGTTCCAGGCCTTTCGTGGTCTACTCAATGGAGAAGGAACTACTATGGAGAGCAACTGGAAGGGGATCAAAGAAGCAATCACTTCAACATGTCATGAGGTTCTG